ACATCTGTATATCTCTACTGTAAGTCTAAGCTTAACTTTAAAATTCCCTCTGACCCAATTCTGAATCTTTTTAATAATCTAGTCCGTATTTCAAACCAAGTGCTACCGCAGTACTAAGATTCAACTTTTCATATATGGCGCCAACAACAACAAGGACATGACATTTCCGTAAAGGCACTGTCACTCGAGTACTCGTATCTCAAGCTACTTGGTGCCGCCACCAGGAGTTCCTTTTTTGACCGGGACTCGATCCAGGGTCCGTACAACTTATTCGTCTCCAAACACGTGGTTGCTATCTACCGGTCCATCCGGATTTGGTAAGTAAGCAATGCCAATCTTTTGAAGGGGGTAAGCCAAATCCCCACTTTTTAGAAAAAACTTTTAGAGACCAACAGAAAAAATGACAAGAGATAAAGAAGGACCACTTGAGCTTCTAACCAATTTAAAGGAGTGTGAGTTTTCTTTTCTACAGTTAAGACCCACTGCCCAACACTTGCTCAACTTTTTTTTTTTAGTGAGTGATAAACTCTAGGCTTGTCGGCAGGTAGCATATAAGAACTGCCTCTAAACAACAAATGCCGAGACTATGCAGTAAGTGATAAACTCTAAGCCTGTCAGCAAGTAGCGTATAAGAACTACTTCTAAACAACAGATGCTAACTTATTGTCTAGGTTTTTTGGTCAAGTGCTAGCTTGTAAGATTTCTTTTTGTGAAAAATCTTTTTTGGCAAATATGGTTCAAGTGATTATCAGAAAGAGTTTCCCAAGATTTTTATACAAGGGTGCCACTTGCCAATTATTTTATATAATAATGCTTTTGGCTTGCATGCTAAATATTCTTTTAGAGGAGTCTTCTAGAAAAGTGGTTGATCTTTAGATAAACCACATCATAAGGCCATGTCTTTTCAACAAAAGTTGTGTTTCTGTTAGTTAAAATTTTAATACAAGTGATCGTTAAAGAGGGTTGTGTATAGTTATATATATACTGTATATATATATATATATATATATATATTTTTTGATAACTATATACTAAAATTTTATTAAATGTATTATGCTTAATACAAGATCAAGCTATTTAACAAGGTATTAGACTAAAAGCCAGCTACTATACCCCACATACAGTATGCTATATTTAAAGATATAGTCTAGCTGGGGCTCAGCTCCCACCTTAGGGCCTCTTTTCTCTTTTAATTTTTTTTTCTTCTCAAGAGGCACAAGACAAAAAAGGAGAAAAAGTTTAAACCAAAAAAACAAATATGAAAACGACCAAAAAAAAAAAACAAACAAAAAAGAAGAAATAAATACAGATTTCGAAAAAAAAAAAACATAAAAAGAAAACTAAAACTCTAAAGGCACTATTATAACCTATGCAAGGTTGGTAAAAATTATATAACAAATGCAATATTTGTATATCTCTCTTGTAAAGGTAAAGCTCCGTCTTAATATTAAAGTTTACTTTCTGACCTTCCCACCAACTTTGGATGGCTCTATTATCCGAGACCTCATATCAAAGCTATCTTCTGCTATAATTGGAGTTCCCAGGCCAAGTTTCATACAATAGCACCATATCTATCTATAAACAAACACGTAGTTGCAATCTACTAGTCCATCCAAATTTGGGAAGTAAACAATGCCGATCTTTTGGAGGGGTAAGCCAAATTTCCACTTTTTGTTAAAAAATTTTGAAAGAAAGGCAGGAAAGCAGAAAAAAGATAGTAAGCACCACTTGGTCAAAAAAAAGGAGTGCGGTTTAAAAGAAACCTATTCTTTACTGTTTCCCAGTTGTTTTACAACCGATAGCTTCGTCGACAGTAGGCTTGAACTTTATTACCTCCACCTAACCACCAAAATTTTGTATATGAGGGCACCCTCTTCTGCCAGTTATCTTGTATACTAATGCTTTTGGCTTGCATGTCAAATATATAAAGGAGTTCCCGATAGTAGAAAAAATTGACCTTTATAAAAACCACCCTGTTGATTCACCTCACTACAGGTTATTACCACTCTCCAGTATAGAAAATAGGTATTTCTTTTCATTGGAAAATTTGGTCCAAGTGATCATCAGAAAAAGTTCTCAATATACTGTATATTACTGTATAATAAATATTATATATATATATATATATACAATAATTACTATTTTATTATATATACTAAATTAGAAATATTTATCTAGTTTAGACCAGACCAATTTGATTCTCTGTTTAACCCTCCCTCCCACCATCATATGTTATGTTAAACAGAAAATTAAATTGAAGTGGCCTTAACTGAATTAAAAATAGCACTATACTAAATATACGTAGTTATTAAATCTATATATTATACTGTATATATTTTTAATATAAAATAAAAATAAAAATAATTTTTTTTATTAAAAATCAAAATATTATTTTTTTATTTACTATTTAAAGTATTTCTAATACATTATACGTATTCCATAACTGATAGTACGTATAAAGCTCAAAAACTAATTTAGGCCATACAAACAAATCTCATTACCCGGCCGGTTAACTTTTTTTAGAAAAGTTAATTTTTTTCTATATAAAAGTTTTTTTATTCTTGCATGAAAAAAAAATTTATAAAAAATTTTTTATACGTATTAAAAATATTTTAAATATACCATTTTTTGCCAACTAAATTAATTTGCATGGCCTTTAAAAAAAATAAAACCATAATTTGCTCAACTCCCGGTAAATTAGTTTGTAGCAACTATTTTATTCCTGTCACAATATACATGCATGTACATGCATTTCTCTTACGTACGTACGTGCCAGGTACGGTATTAAACTGTATTGTTTAAACTTTTTTAACATTTTTTCATCGCTGTAGAACCGAAAATGAAGTTGTGATTAAACGATATATATATATATATATAGTGCATTTTACGTATAATGAGAATCGATGATGCTAAGACAAAAATTTATACGTATACGTATTAAAAAAAAAATTATGCATCCACTAGTATATATACGCTTTAAGTAAAACCATCGGAGGTGAGTATACATATTTGGAATATTTTGGATAAAAACTATAGCGATAGATCTTTGCGATCTGCTCCATCAGTTATCGAGGTAGCATATGTAAGAAAGCGACCCAGCAACAATATAACAAATATTTTCTTTATTCAATTAAATCCAATTTGGATAAGATTATTCTCTAACACTAAGAAACACCATATTTTTTAATAAATTAGTGCAAGAAAACTTGTGAATTTACATCTTGTAATAACACCAATCACAAGAGAAAACAGTCTTCTTCATTCGTTACTGTGTTCTTCATTATTAACCCCGTAACCACAAGACCATTCTTTCAAATATTCCCCTTTACTTTTAAACCCCTTGTGATTTTACGTCATCCAACATTTAAATTAATAAAACCAAATTGACAATGTATTTTAACTCAATCAATATATGATCACAGGTTGTCACATAAATTGTGCGCTTTTGGCAAATCAAGCCGCATCTGTTTGATGCAGCTCGTGAGCTCAACTTTTTCTTTCTACTTGTTTATTATTGATTGATAGGCAATGAATGAATAAACATGTATGTAATGAAGGCTCAATAAACGGCCGTGAAATATTTTCTCTCTCTACTTATTAACATTATCGTTATTAATATTAATAATTTCATTACAACGATTATTGGATTAACACCTATACGTATAATTAAATGTATTCTAAATACTTATTTATTATATATACATGATAAACATTCTTGTGCTCACTTTTCGTACAACACTACAAAAATAAAGCCCAAAAAAAAATTCACAAAGACTTACGGGCTTTCTGGGCAAAGAGCATTTCAATGTCCCAAATGCCAGAACCACTTTCTACCATTAGACAAACTAACTTTTCTCCTTCCGCTGAGCGGCTTAGTTCCTCTGATAACCAATCTTTTACCCACCACGTACAAACCCTTTACCAACTCGAGGCACCTAACGCCAATATTTACCTTGCTTTATCAACTCAACTTCCTGTCTCAAATCTCATAGAAACTTTTCACGCTTCCGCTAAACAGATTGACCTTTGGCTCGAATATGCGAATATCGCTATTTTCGCTTTGGAGTTGGATGTGCGAGAAGGAACGAACGTCAAAAGTGTTGGTGAAATGGACGTTCTGATTCATAAATTTGCCCCAAATATTGATTTGTTACAGGAATTGTCTCAAACAATATTTAATAACTTAAAGGACTCCAATGATGAGGAAAAGCGAAAAGATATTCAGGACACCCTGGATAGAATATATGCAGACTGGGTGGATGCAAAGGCTTTCTTTGGAAGGGTAAAGAAAGAAATGTCTGAATCAAAACAACGTCGCGAACTTTTAGACACTATGGATTTAATTTTAGCTTCAATAGAAGAACTAAACACAAGTATTTTCGAATATCAAGAACAAAGACTTAGTGGGGAGAATGGAAGTGAAATTTTTCCTTTTCCGAAATTAAGTTCTAGTCCCACCACTCGAAATTCTAGCATTATTAGTAATAATTCTCAAACTGAATTTAGTTCGCGATCTGATGTTGCATTAATGCAATTGGATTCTCGTTTAGAACCTTTATCTGCTAGAATTGAATATTTAAGATCTCGATTGTCTGCTCCAAACGCTCCATCTGATCCTAATGGCGCATTGGCAAAAAAGAATAATATTTTATCAAATAAGTGGGACGCTCTAAAACATGAAATGGAAACTTTAAGGGAGGAGTTAAAAGAGGATAGATGGTTGGGTGTTTTTAAACAGGTAACTGGTAACGCTGGTCAAATGATGGATTCTCTTGAAAGAGCTGTTAGACAATGTAAGGACTTTATCACAAGAGCTATTAATAGAGTAGATTCTCCTTTACCGTTAAGGATGCTTCAACAAAACAAAGGATTACAAATACCATCTAAATCTTACTCTAGAGATTTATTGCAACAACAACAACAACAACAAGTACCAATGCAACCTCCTATAGCAATAACTTATAAAAATTTTCAAAGATTATATAAAACTTTTGATGCTAAACGAAAATATTATGTTCCAACTGTAACTAAAATGCTTACAATGCTTGCAAATGGAATCAATCAACAAATGACAAAAGATCGTGATGCAATTAAAAAGTACAGGTCCATGAAAGAACGTTGGGATACAATTCTTGATGGTGTTGCTGAAGTACAACATGATATGCCAGGAATAGAAGCGTTGCTGGATCACTCGCTTGTATCTAGTAATTCACCACCTTCTTCAATACCTTCATCTATAGCCTCTTCACCACCAATGTCTCCTAATATGAAACCAAGAGGGATGTTTTCTCCTGAATCTGGTTCCCCTCCAACAAGGGGGCAGAGATCTTTATCACCACATAGAGTAGATTATCTTGAATCTCCACTAAATAATGTTAGATCTCCATCTTTGCGTTCAAAATCACCATCGCCTAGGGCTACAAGTCCTTTAGGAGGTAGTCGTAACTATTTGACTTCTGCAAGTGGTCGTTCTGTTAGTCCGACTCCTACACCAGATAGGCCACCTTGGAATTCATATTACAATCAAACATATAATTACAATAATCTCAGTAATGGTCATCATACCATATCTCCCCTACAAGGAAATGGTCGACCATCGAGTCGTTCTGGTTCTCCAATAAGATCTCCTTTAACTCGTGCAATTTCTCCGGAAAGAATAAATCCATCAAATATACCGCGTCCAGTTACCAGTATGGGAATTACAAATAGGGCACCATCGCGTGTTGGTATGAGATCATTTTTGCCGCAACCTAGTACACCACAACCGGGAATGGTATCTTCGACCCGCCTGGGTATGATTTCTCCACCACCGATGCGACGTCATCATCAAATACGAACTCCGACACCTTCATCCGTCACAAGCAGTTTATCCCGACCGATCACTCCAGAGAATGACGATCGTCCAATGACTCCATTAACTGAAAGATTATCAAGTATGTCAGTAATCAATGATCGTAATTCAAACTATATCCCTCTTAAAAATGATCCACTTGACATTGAAGTTGCAAAAATCGTAAATTCTTTGCCACTTAATATAAAAGTGGAACGTGCTCCTGGTGGTGGTGGCAAGTATTACTTTGGCCGCGAAAAAAAAGTATTTAGTTGTAAATTAGTGAATTATGCTGCAAGTAATAGAAATAAGGTTATTGTTCGAGTGGGTGGTGGTTCCCAAGATTTAGATATGTTTTTATTAGAGCATAGTCTTACTAGTGTGAGAGAAGTAAGATATTAAAATAAAACTACTCTGGAAATTACTTTCATAATTTCTTTTTTATACTGAAGCAAGTACGTCACGCATATACATAGATAGAAGAGATATTTATTATTAAGCATTGCATTGTTTACTAACATTATTTATTCAGTACATCTTTTAACTACGTTAGTTGTCATCATGATTGCTCATCATTTGGTGGTATTGGATTAGTCAATCTTTTTTTTCTTTTGGTTCTCTGTATATATAAATAGACATTTATGTTTTTTTTCTATATTAACTATTTGTGATATTTATCAACCATTTGGTTTTAGTCTCTTACGATACGTTTATAATATAAAATTACGTTAAAAAAAAAAAAAGAATACACTATAAATATTGAATGGAGGAAACTTAACTTTCAATCAAAGATTGGTTTTTTAAATTATTTAACAAATGAAACAAATTTCCTTAATAATTAAAATTCAATGTATGATACAATTAATGAGGTAAATAATGAGCATTCACTCATTCTCTTGCAATGAACTTTTTGTCGTATGTTCGTCAATATCAATTGCTTCCCAAGGATAAACTAACCATTTATCAGGTGATTCTTCTGCGGCAAAGTACCTGCCTTCCTTAACTATACTAGGATCAGGTAGTTCCATTCGTTTCTCCTTCTTCTTATTATGAAGCACAAATACTGCCAATTTCGTTTCCGGAACGGGTGTTCCCGCTGAATTTGTTTCTATAAATTTACGTTTTTCCTCTTCAATGTCTTTGATAAGTTCTTGAACTGCATATGCAAGAGTTGTGCGAGTATCATCCACTTCGTCTACAATGAGGATGTTTTTACCGAGTAATGGACAAGTGTTGGCGTAGGAGGGTCCGAAATGAAGCCATTGAGTTTTTATTACTTGAGTACCAATTATATCAGGATCAGATGATGGATCAGATGTGTTAAGATCTTCGTAAAGCGAAAGGCCTATTGCTTGGATCGGGATATTCTTATTATTCTGACGTTTTAGGAAGGTACGCTTAATATAAAAAATATGAATTATTATTTAATATAGCAAAACTTTGGAGAATCGGTAAAAAAAAGATGTTCGATTTTCAAATTCATTCACTAATGTAATTATTATTATTATTTGTAAAATTGATAAAAACGTATGCCAATACGTTCATTAATAGTCCGTTCTTTCTAAGTTGTAAAGTATGAGAATTTCGTATTTACCAGAATTCGAGCGGGTATGAATCCTCCACCACCTATAGCAATCATAAGATCTGGTTTATAATTCTCATTTATACGATAACGTTCGACTGCTTCTTTTGTAAGCTTATGTACTTGGTTGTATGAAATGTAAATTTTGTTATCGTTTTGCATTTGAAACTGATCAAGGTTTCACGCCTTCGGCAAAATTTCCAAGAGACGCCGAACGAAACGAATTTCATTCATTGATACCTTCATATGGCATTGTGACACGAAAATTTCGGAAATTTTGCCGAAAGTTATACTACTGCATTTTCACGTGTACGAATCAGCATAATAGCATTAATGATTTTGATTTTGATTTTATGTAAAACGCGAAAATAATATTTCTTTATTGGTAAAGCATGAAATATACTTCAACAAAGAACTATGTATATGCAACAAAGATTAGAAACAGTGATACAACTAAAAGGATAAAAAACAAAAGTAGAACTTCGAACAACATATGCGTATGCATAAATGTTTTAGCCCAAAAGTATATTTTTTTATAAAGTATAATATATATACATATCTAATACAATTAATTCTCCATTAATATCAACCTCTTATTTATCAATCTAAATTTTATACAATATATATAAGGATGCTAATCGGTCCCGCAGTAATTGTCAGCAGACTTTGAGCAAGTATAATTTTTTTATAACATTTTCTATCAGTTTTCGCATTAATTTTATGGGACCGATTAGGGTCCCATTTCAGCACTCTAATGTGAAAACCGACAAAAAAAATTACTTATTGGACAAAATACCGGTATATATAATAAACTTTGCCGAATTTGGGTCAAAACGGATTCCCGAAAGAACATAATACCGACAAAGTTAGTCAGCACTAGCTATTGCTGGCCAATTTAACTTTGCTAACTATAGTAATAGTTGCAATTAACCGGTTATGGGTATCACGTGACAACTTAATTGGTTAAAAAGCAAATCTTACGTTTTTGATACACCTGCACATACTTTTTTGATACTGATCGACATGCAGATCCCGGTAAAAATAA